TAACGTACTGGTATGTTGTTTATAGAATTCGAGGCTATTGTTGTATAGAGACAGCTGAGACTTGCCAAATTCTTATTCTTTAATGCCACCAGATGTCTCATTAGTTCCTATTTTCTCACAAGTACTTTTCATCATCCTAATTTTTATATACGGCCTCTTTATCCTGCTTCATCTAATGCAAATTAAATTGCTTGTAACTTAACACGATTTGTTATTACAGTTTTTTTAAAAACGTATTAATTTAATAAAAGAAGCTTTCCTTAATTTTCGATATTAAACTGGAAAAAAATAATTGAGATTTTATCAGGTAGATTTTCTCACAAGTACTTTTCATCATCCTAATTTCTATATCCGGCTCTTTATCCTGCTTCATCTAATGCAAATTAAATTGCTTGTAACTTAATACGATTTGTTATTACAGTTTTTTTTAAAAACGTATTAATTTAATGAAAGAAGCTTTCTTTAATTTTCGATATTAACTGGAAAAAAATAAGAGACATATGATATTCCACGATGAAATGAATTTTTAAGATTCTTGTAACGCAATGGAATCGAAATATGATACAATCGAAAGGCTGAATGAATTCCTTTTATATTTAATTTATGAGAAAGACGATGAATGAAGGAAAAAGGGGACGGAGAATGAAAATAAACATATAAATGAATTTCATAATATGTCAAACAAAATATTCCCAGTAATGGAGATAGCTATTGAGCAATTATATTGAAGATCATTTCAGGAATTTATCCAATGTTTCTTGTATCCACTAATAGTAAGTTTAATAGCAACTTTAATAGCAGTAGTAATTGCGGTAATAATAGTAGTGGAATAGTAAAATATACTTTCCAGTTGAAAACAAAAGATGCTAAGTCTCAAAGATATTAGAATCATTAATATATATATATATATATTTCCAACTATAATTCCCATCAATCAACCACACCCAAGAAACTTTTCAACTAACGTAGTAGTACTACGTTAGTCATGTACATCCTTTACTTTGTATCGGAAAACAAAGGCCGCGATAAGAAACACATTCAACCTCTAAACCTCCAACAACAATCGATTCCGCTCTATTCATAGTCCCGGCTCAATGTTTCCCTTCCAACGTGTACATGTACACACATTGGATAAATAAATGTGTCGTTAATATTTTCTTCGTTCTTTCACAAGTGTCCGAGGTGGATGTCAATCAACGTTCTTCCCAATGACGCGTTGCGCAAAGGAACACATTCACGGAATGCCGATACTTTTATTTATTCACACTCGTTTCCTAGTTCCCTCTACACCAAGAAATAAATTCGAAAAGCAGATATCCATTAATTAATGCCGTTGAAAAATGCCAGCCGACAAAGATGGCTCGATTACGTCACATCTCTTTTTCATTCGAGTGTCGTTATAAGGACCTGTTCCTGATTCGATCATCTCTCTCTCCTCTTTTTGCGAATTCATTCAACTTGTTGCTCGTTATCAGTTTGGTTTGGAATATATTGAATGATACGAACTGTATTGAAAGACTGATCCAATTGAAAGAAGACATTTTGAAAGCCCAATTATTATCTAATAAGTGAAAAACTTGTCTCGAGATGTTCTAGCAATTGTAGAGATCACTTTTTTTTTGTTTATTTAATGGATAAATGGATAAAGAAATTGAATTATAGACTTTTTTGTTAAAGAGTTGTAAACTTAACAAGCACAGGTGTAATCTTTATGTCAGAGATATAAACGTGCAAATTTTTTTGAGTAAGAATGAACATTGTTTTTTTTTTTTTTCATTTTTAACTTCAAACTATAAACTATCAAAACTATAGTGTCTTAATGAATATTTATAATGAAATTAACTCTGAAATACATACCGATGGAAAATATTGATCTGATCATAATTGTCTTCTTATATTTTATGTTTAAAGTATAAACTTTTACAAGTTATTGAATTGCCTTTGGCATAAAGAGGACTATATTATATAATTTTATTTTAAATACATTTGAATATTATAAGATAGAAATTGAATAGATTTCAGATAAAGGATCTATTTTGAGCATAAATATTTTTTACAATCGTTGAAACAAAAATACAACAAAGAATATCTACCGATAATAAGTAATTTTAATCTCTCGCAACTTTCAAAAATATAATGAAAATTGCAGAAAGAAATTGACTTGAATCGGAAGAAATTGAAGGCAATCTCTTTGTATCTGTTGCACGAAAACGGCCGCATCGAGAATGTATATTGAGGTTAGATGACGTATAAGTGCAACCGAGAAGCCGTCGACATACACTAAGTTACCGGCATTGCGTCGGTTAATTGTGTCAAATCCGCGAAGATTTCATTTCTCACGTAGAGTCATCACCGACCAATTTCCAAATCAATATCTTTATGTCGATATCCGAATAATTGAATACTTTTTAATGCATTCTTTTTATCAAAACAATTTTTATCTAAAGAAAATAATTGAAATAAAAAATAGAATGACAAATTTATTAAATTAAATAATATTCCATTATTGGAAAATATTATTATTAACGAATCTAAAATCTAAATCTTCAAGTTAGATTTTAACTTTTTTGAAGAAATGAAGAAAATAAAAAACTTTCACTTCGGAACACAATCTTCGTTCCAAATAAAAATTTATACACGACTTCCTTGATTGGCCAAGGAATTTCCATCGACTTCAAACGATCTGACATTTAATAGGCATTGCAAACTCACGTTGTCGCAAAATGGAGACGCCACGCCTAGCATTGTCGCGGTCGTAAAAGCATCGATATCGTTTCCTTTCGTCCAGCATGGGCGAGAGCGAGAAAAAACGAAAGTGGTCTCGAACTGGATCGGAATGTTAGACCGGTCCTAGGCCTTTAGTATTATTTACCTCGACTTGCGGAACCGCTATAGCTGCCATTAACATTCCCGCGGCTCGTGGTCGGCAATTTTCGTACGAGAAATTTTACATAAACTTCATTCATTTCCGTCCAGTTGAATTTATAAACAACCGATAAATTTCATCTCAAATGATTCGTTCTATGGAAAAGATAGAGATACGAAACGAAAAGTAGTAGTAGTACTAGAATTCGTTAAGGAACACTGCTGTGTCAAATTAAACACGAAATTTTTTTTAAACGATAATATTATTTTCTTGGCCTCAAAATTGTCAAGGAATCAATCCTTTACAATGTTTCACGAATATTTATACACTCAAGGCGAGTTAATGCTAGATTATTATGCTAATTATATTTAACGTGCTCTTTAATGCGTCATTGTTACTGCGTTTTGTGCTACATAAACTATTGATAGTCCAGTTGAAATGTAACAAAGCTTTATACAGTCAAAGATATTTTTAATATTAATATAATGAAATTCTATCTATTTTTAATCGATTTTCAGTGATTCTTAATCTTTACAATCTTTACAAAATTAAATTCATGGATTATTCCTGAAAAGTGTCAATTTTATATTATGTAAAAAAAAAATTGAATTTGATTATACTCGAATGCTGCATCATAATGGTTAACTTTTTTGAAATTATGGAACACATTTTTCGATTGTTATATGAAAAATTTAAAAAACACGAAATGTACTAAAATCATAAAATTAACGATAAAAATATGCATGAATATATCTTATTTCGATTAACTAATAACATTAATAATTGTTAATATATTTTCGTAAAATATTTGTAACGGAATCACGAAACATTATTGTTCTTATACATAAAGAAGCGATTAAGGATCACTATGATACGACATTCTAATCTGATTTGTATATTCTTCGATCCACATTCCATTCATTTCATAATTTATAACACATTGTGGTCTGATGGTTTATCAAAGAATTATCTCTGAGGTTCGTTATATTGTTTGCCCGTCGTTATCAGAGGTTATGTGTATACGTAATGCGCTGTTAACAAATCGTTAATCATCTTCGTGCACTTTAAACGCACGTGCACGTCGCGTCAGCGCATTCGCAATATAGAATGTTTCTTATTGTTTTTCAATAGGTGACGGGCGAAAGAATGCAAGTCAAAGGTGGTCGACGTCGTGCCAGACACGGTATCTAAAGCAAACTCGAGCTGCATTGCAATTCGATCGTGTAAAACTTCTTTGGAAATTCCATTAAACTAGAAGATTTTATAACCGTTGCCAAATATCGACCGCTATCGAATCAAAGTTTACAAGTTTGGGAAGCAATAAGATTGCTCGATTCAATCTAAATCGAAAATTGAAATTGATATTAATTTAAAACTTTATTATAAAACTAATATTAAAAATAATTGCAAATTTAGTTAATTTCATATATTATAAAACTTGATCATTTTTGCATACATATTTCCGTTCGTATAATGGATAATATAAAGTATTTGCACATAACCTTATTTTCTAATGAAGCCACTTTTTTATCCTATTCTAAATTTCATTTTTATACCATCAAATTTTTATAGTATGATAAATATAATTTATCATATTTATGGTATATTTATATATTAAATATAATGATATATTTATTAAAATTATGATAATACAAATTAAGTTAGGAAGAGCAAAATCAATCGAAAAAGAAAAAAAAAGATTTTATCTTCAACTATATTTTAAATATCGAAATGTAATAATTTTAAATTATGATAAATAAGAATCAACAAAAATTAACAAAAATTATGATAAAAACAGACATTTGTAAAAAGATAATGAGACACCTTGACAAAACAACTATCACAAAATAAAAAACTTTATAATAAATTCTTCAAAAAATAATGTATTTAATCTTTCTTATAACGAAATTGAATCAATAAATCCAAATTTTAATTTTAATTTAAATTAAATTTAATTTTAATTTTAATTAGTAACGTTCGTTTCTTATAAACATATCACCTAATCTCACAACTTATAGACAACATAGTAATATATGTATACATCATAACCTCCAAAGTAATAAACACATCTAAAAAAGGAAACACCTTACTTGACTCCACTCGGTATAACTCCATCCATCAAACACCTTAAACATCCTCTCTTTCCTGAACAAAAAAATTTCTCAACAAACGCGATGCTCGCCGCGATTCGCACAACCGATTCATTTTCACCCACGAGAACACAATCGAGCGAGCGGTTCTAGTTGAAAACAACGCGGCACACACCAGATAAATTCCTAGTCAGGTCGAGGCACTCGCCAACGCAAATACCCGAAGATACTTTCGCAAGAGACGATCGGTTCGTGTCTAAATACCACGTTGCCGTTTCACAGCGGCGCGTTATAGCTCTCCGTGTGGGTGCACCTTAAAGAACACAGCGATCGCATCCGTGACAGCTGTGGCGCGCGGCAGGGGGCGCGCAAAGCGATGCATTTTAGCAGGTTGATGCCGCGGCGTGATTTACTCGCGCAATAGAATGCACTTCGAATGGTAGGAAGAGAGCAATATCTCGCGTTGCAAACCGATAGGAGTGCTTTTAATGTTCAGAAAAGGGAGGAGGAGGAGGAGGAGGAGGAGGGGAAGGGGATTGTTCGATTCGATGGTTTCTTCTCTTTGTTTCTCCTCGCTTGACGTTTGCATGGCGCCGGTTTATCGTGGAAAGGAACGAGCCGAGGACGATAGGCGACGGTTGTTTTCAGGCCACTGTAAATCATCCGACTGTTCAATCGTATCATGTACTTGACTTTATTCCGTGAAAGGAATATTTCTTGGAAGGAGCTTTCTGATTTCGTGGGCCTCTTCGATCGGTTCGTCCCTACGAGACAGACCTGGGAAGGTCGTGGAAATCTAGTTCAATGCGAGGAAGACGGTGAATATAAATAGACCGACCTGCCAAGGAAATTGTGGAATATTTGGAACATTACCCGGCTACTTTTTTTGAAAAACAGAATGATCTGAATTATGTTGTTTACAAGTACAATAATTTAAGACATGTAAGAACCAAACTAACTCACGTCCATTTATTCATTATTATTCCACTATTTTATTGCTCGTTATTCTCACTCGCTATAGTTTTTTGCACTCGCTTGTTTATATGTTACACGTTAATTAAGAAAATTTTAATAGGCAGAATTTCAACTATAAATCTTACATTTTTATGGCTGCTAACCTAACTACTCCACGAGAATAAAAAAATAATTGGTAATTTTTTGTAATTAACCTCAATACTTCCCGCAAATATATCCTCCTCAATTTAAAGAATCGTATTATATATCGATCGTCAATCGTTTCAAAATCTCGACTCACATGTACTCTAGGCACCGAGGCCGATCTTCCATTGATTCTCCTCCGTCTAAGGATCCTAGCGCGCTCCCTGTCCCTCCTGGTACACCTGTCCTCCTGTCGTGGGATCAAAGACAACTGCTGGGGGCCCTCCTCCTCGAGGGATCGAACCCCGAGCAGGACGCATCCTTCGTTCTCGTCGACGCCCGGCACAGCGCTGTTGCAATTCCGCATTCCATCGGCCTCCGTGGTATCGTTGCTACCCAACGAACACCTCGACAGATCCTCGCTGGACTTGGAAGATGCAATTGCCGCCTGGCGATACTTCTTCCTCTCGATCACGAACGACGAGGCTCTCGCCCTTCGACCGGAATGATCTTGCCTCCTAGCGATCAATTGCTCGGTCTTGGTTGTGAATTCCTGCGATCTACTCGTCCTCGAACGATATCTGGTCAATTGGCCGCCATCCGTTCTACTCGACGAAACACTCTTCGGACCCTTTTTCGCGAACACGAACTCTTTGGTATCCTTGCAATCCTTCGAGATGCTTTGGCTGTCGCTATCTTTGGTTGTCGAGGTATCCGTGTTCTCGGACTCTTGGCAAGACCCGTTTCCAGGCGCAGACACGCTTCTCCTCAACCCGCGCGCCCTCTCGATCTTCGACGCATTGGAAGAGTATCTCGTTAGAGTGTCCCTGTATTGAAAGTTCACCGTTGTTTTGTATCCCTGATCGTCGTAAACACTCTTGCAATCCACCACTTCCAACAACTTTATAGAGATTTCCAGTTTCTCGTCTCCCACGTTGATCGCATTTTCCTCGATTACTTTATTTTTCCTCGAACCATCCTCCTCATCATGATTTCGTGTCTCAGATTCGAAGGACGAGTTTCGCCTCCCGTCCTCCACGCGACGAGAACAGGATTTCAGGAACTGATCCTTCTTCGACTCACGGCTCTTCTCCTCCAGGGAGACGGATTTCTTGAGGATGTGCGGTGTCTTGTGCACACGTGGGAAACAGTTGACGTCCAGCAGGCTAGCGGTGTCGACGTCGTCTTGGTCAGGAAAACTTGGTTGGTCTTTAGGACACGATGTCTCGCGCGCTCCGTCAGCGTCGACGCACTGACGGACGGAGATCAGACGGCATCCGCCGTCGTCCCCACTATCTTCCTCGATGATGTACATCCGAAATAACTACTCGACGCGCGTCATCGCCGTTACGAGGGTATTCCGCGAATTGGAGGCGCCGCCGTTTCTCTTCGATACTTCTCGATCCGCTCGTAGATAAGCGTCGAATCAATTTTTGATGATTTCATATTCCTCTTAGGATGTTTATCATCTCCGAATGGACATTTTTAGAATTGTTTCAATATTTTTAAAGCGATCTTCGATTCGATGAAAATTATTTATTTACAGTTCGGTTTGTAAAAATTTGTGTCTTTTATTTTATTATGTTATTAAATTTTGATATAGATATCGAGTTGTTGGAACGATGAATTTGGGGAGAAAAATTGTTTTGATGATTCGAATTTTATATATAAATAATATGACGGATGTTCTTTCATTTATTATAAAATTGCTTATATTGATAATTGCAATTTATTATATTGTCCTGTTATATTTATTGTCTTGATATTGTACAACACTTATTTTGTTCTTGCTTTAGAATCCTGTTATTTTGTCTGAGTGGAGACTGAATTTCTAGGAGGTAGAGAAAAATTGTTTCAATATCTTACTCTTCAATTTCTAATTTCCAAATCAATGTTATTTGATTTATAAAAATTATTTATCGACAATATTTTAATATTATTTTATCCTTAAAGAGCTTATTTTAAATTCTTTTTAAAGTAGATTTAAAGTTTCTTGAATATTTCGATAAAAAAGTTTTTATTCCCATGTGTAAAAATTATTTCTTAACAGTGCAATTTATAAACTCTTCCGTTGCATATTTATTCTCCTTTACACAAACTTTATTCAATTCTTGATTTTTAATTTCATATTATTCTTATCTTAATATTACAAAAATCTTGTTTGACATTTTCTCACAAAAATATATAAACAAAATTGACATAATAATTGTTCTCATTCAATTGTTACCATTAACATCTGTTCTTCGCAAAATTTCCAAACAATTTTTATTTCTTTCCCCAGAAAAGATGCATTAAACGCATCAATTTTACGATACAACAACCGATTCTCCGTTGCACGTCTTCTAACGTATCAGAAGGAAAGTCACAAACTCCCGACACTACACGTAATTCGCGGTTATCCTCCCAAACAATCGTTCCGCAATCTCATCCTCAGAACACCGATATTACTTGCTCCCGTGCACCATAATGACAGTGCATACACACAAAATAAAGCTTTCAACGTCCATGCACACGTTTAAAAAATATTTCTCTCGATGCAACGACTCTTACTTCTCTCAATGCGATACCGATAGTTTGCGCCTAATATCAGACAAGCTCTGGCTGGCTCGATTCCAGATTAGCAACCGGTTAAATTGCAAACAGTCGTAGTTTTACAATATATACACACGATTTTTCGTCATAAAAGTTTGGTTATTTCAAAATCGTTGTCAATTTAAAATTCCACTTATGGACGATGCACAATCGCCGATTCCGCACGCGAATCGTTTCGACACACTCGAATCCGAAACCGTGGGACAACACACTTATTTTTTTTATCTCGTTTTAGGACAGTTTATGCGAATTTTTCTCAACGTTTAAAATAAGAATCTTCGAACCATGCCTTTTTTCCTTTCCAAGTTTTACACTTTTATGGACAACTACAACTGTCTTAACTGATTTTTTTTAATGACAATTGTGATCCCTGATATTCTTTTTTTTCTTCATAATTCTCTTGTCGTTTAAATACTTTGTTCCGTCTCCGTTGCGTATTCGCATGCGGATTCATCATAATCTGTATTGTCACTGTATTTCTCTTTCTTTTTCCTTTTTTATTCTTTCAATACCACTACTGTTATCTAACGCTACTTTTAACAAATGGTTCTCTCGTTTGTAAATTGTTATTATTGTTATTATTAACAAGAAATTCGAGGCGATCGAAGAGGGAAAAGGGCAATTTGTCGGCGCGAAAGTTGTTCCTCGCGTCACGCGATCTTCGAGGGGCGAGCCTCGAGTGATAGATCGAGAGGATACCACCGCGATCTTTCAGGTAAGCCGGATTCTGGCAGCGTACAATTTCAATGCTTCGATCGAACGGGCAGGTTAAAAATTGATAACATTCACAGTTTTTAATCCAAACACTCGGAATTAAAAAAAAAAAGTCGTCCAAAAAATCGTCAGCGTGACAGGTTTATTCTTTATTTCATCGATCGATCCATCTTTCTTTGACAAAAAATTCACAATTTTTAATTTAAACACTCGAATAAGAGAGAAAGTCCAAAAAAGTTATATAAAAAGAAAACTCTGTATGTGTATGTGTATGGAGAAACTCGAGAAAAATATTTTATTTCGTAAATTGTTCCAATCTTAATCTCGATCAATCCATTCTGCAGCGATATATATTATCCATCGGCGGATCGAGGACCATCGCTTTACGGTAGGTCGGAGCCGCGCGAGCCGGAAAAAGAGACGCAAAGGCGTCGAGCGCCGGTGGCCTACTGGTGCGACTCTCCTAATCCCGCGCGCACACGGGGCACACCACGGTAGAGCACGTATGCAACACGACGCACACCGACCAAGTGGGGAAGAAAGAAACACACGCGATTCCATTCCACTCGAGACCGCGCGCGCTCTACTCGACACTCGCCTCTAAACTCTCACCGCAGCGCCGCGGTTATATCTCTTTCTCTCTCTCTCTCTCTTTCTCTCTCTCTACGGGCAAGATCTCTACTGCGCGGCACCGTTCCTTTCTCTGTCTGGAACAGGGGGCAGGGGAGCGGAGTGCCCTGTCCCGAACGCGTACGCGCGTACACCGTCCTCCAATCAGCAAGCGATCCGCCACTTTGCGGCCTGGAATGCCTTTTCCTTTCGGAAACCCGCTCGAACCGGTCGCCCACTCGCGCTCGCGTGCACGATACACGCGATCGGCCGCTGTTAACGGGTGGCGCGATTGATCGATTCTTGCGCGTGGGAGGGTGGTGCCCACCAAGGGGAGCAGTAGTACCCTTTTGTGTACGATTTCGAGGATGGGAGGTGGAGGCTGCGTTGATGGGTGAATTGTGAAGTTTAGTTAGAGTTTGGACCGATTTCGAGTGTTTTATGATTCAACGCTGAAGTGATTTTAATATTTTATTTGATTGTTTTCTAGATTGTTATTGTTTGTATCCGTGTGATTTGGTGATTTTAACTAAGCTTTGAATTTTGTAATTATATATTAAAGAGAATTTGACGTTTTACTATTTTTTTTCTTTTTTTTTTTTTTTTTTTTTTGGTATTTTATTGATTTCGTTATATTGAAATATTGGATATTGTAAATTTCTTGAAGATAGAAAATTGATCTAGAATGATTGTCTTTTTATTTTATAGTTATTATTAATATCTTTCTTGTTACATCTAAACAAGTATTTATTCAAGAATAATGAATTGTATTTTTCATTTAATATTATATTAGTTATTGATTAGTTTTTTCATTTATTTGTCAAATTTGAATAAATATAATGAAAGGGACATCGTTTTCATAATTATTCTTTCTAAAATTTTATTCCAAAATTGAATATGCAATTATTGTACATCAAAAAACTTTTTTTTTTTTTGAATAATTTTTTTCACTTTTTTCACTTCAAATAAAAATAAAAAATGTTAGTGCAAATAAAATGAAAGAAGCGGTAAACGAAATAATACAGAAGATCAATTATAAATTTTAATTTATTAAAAAGAAATAAGATTATGTTGGTAATAAACGAAATAAATCGACAATATTGTTTATTATTGTTTTTTTCATAATCAATTTATTAGAAGAAACAAAATATATTTTTTAAAAAACGAAAAAAAAGTCAAAACTAAATGTAGAAGGATTAATAATATCATGTATATTTATAATTTAGATAATTAATTGTGTTTTCAATGTTAATTAGTAAAATAATCTTTTAATTTATTTATTTTTTTTTTTTATATCTTGAAACAAAAATGTCCCTTTCATGCTATCTCTCTTCTATATTGATTTTATATTGGAGTATACTTTAAATCAGGTATTTCGTTAAAAATATTTAGCCTTGAATTAAAATGCATATTTTTAATAACATTCTTCTCTATGTATTATGTTAAATAAAAAAATTAATATAATTGACTTGAAATTTGATAGATTTTCTGAACGTTGGATTTTTAATTTTTAATTTATATTGACAAAAAAAACAAATTCATTCTTTAACGCGTATAATAAACATATAATAAAGTATCTCTTTAACCATGAAACCAAATATAATATAATTAATTAATATTCAAGAAAACAGAGTTAATAAAGATATAAGCATACGGAAATATCTAAAGTTTAATACAGAAACCGATAATCTTTTCTTAAACAAAAAAAAAAAAAAAATAAAACTTTTTTTTTTAAACATAAAATAATAATAATTTAATTTACGATCTCGTTGCTACAATTCTCATATTATGAATGAGAGATGAATACAAATAAAAATAGAACATGAATTTTAATCGAATCAATATGCAGTCTCACGTTGATTATTTATTGCTCGCTAGCGGTTACTTTTTACAAAGCTCACGTCATCGTACGATCACAGAATGTTTGTCATCATGTTATATAGACATAGTTTTCAGAAGTAGTACGCGCGTTTTGCTCGAGAAATACCGTTCCATTGATATATAATCGAGTTCATATTATTCTATATGAATAATATTGGTCAATATTATCGAAGAATGTCAAATAATGTTCAAATTCCTCGTTTAGAAATAATATTCAAAAGATAATATTCCAAAAAGAAAAAAAAAAGAAAAACGAGAACATGTATTCTAGCACACCATATCTCATCATGATACATCTGTGTTTATTCTTCATAAAGCAAACATTCAATTCACTCATTGTGCAATAATCTATCAACGTAAAAATTTTCGAATAAAATTCACAAGTTTTAGATCAAATATATGCTATGCATTTTATTTTGTACAATTCGAAAGATTTATAATGTTTTTAATAATGCCCATAGATAAAAAGATAAATCACAATTATTAGTGTAAAATGATTGAACAAATGCAATATAAAAGATTACTCTTATTATTAAAAAATTGGCAAAATTATTATGCAAATGAAATCAATTATCTGCGTTATATGTAGTATTTTAAATAGAATAAAATAAATTAAATAAACAAAAAAATTTAAATTAAACTAACAAAAAAAAAAAATGAAATTTGAGAAATAATTCTCAAAATTTTTTAAAGTAACTTCCAACCAATTTTTCAATATTAAATTAAATCTCAATGTTGTTTCGTTTCATTTTAATTTATTAAAAACAGAACATGTTAAACCGTACGTATTAATAACAATTCTTTTATATTTAAAAAAAAAACAATTCAAAGAAGCTGTATTAAAAATAAATATCAAATACACTGGAATCAATTTTATTACATGTAAAAACAAAAAATCGAAAAATTAATCAAAACCATAATAATCATCGAATCTCCTCTCAATTGTAAACGCGAAATATTCTCGTCTCGTGGTGCAACAAGCATCCCTTCCGATGTACACGCAATGTATACACCCAATGCGAGTCCCGTGCCATATGGCAACGCGGATCGATCGTTGGCTGGGTTTGGCTCGAAAGGAGAGGAGAGAATGAAAAACGCGACGCGCAGTGGAAAGTGTCCCGCATGGCTTGTTAATAGAGACTCTCCTTTGCGCAAGGAACGTTGATAAAAGGCAGGCGGACAGCATTTTCTATTGTGCCGTTTCTCGGATTGCATCCGGTGTAAAATTTCACTTGGCTGCTGGTACTGAGCCATCGTTATCGAACCATACTACGAGTACCTCGTGGTTTTCACGGGTTTTTGCGCGCGGCTCGCCACACGTGAGACTGGTTTCGATATTCCGCGTCCCCGATCGAACATGATGCGTCAAATCCTCGTCGACTTTTTGTTAGAGGCAAGAAGACTCTCGTGGAGAGGGAAAATGTATGAAGTTGTTCAGCTTGCGGTTTTTTAGTTCGATGGATTTGTTAGTTCTTTGATCGGATCATCAAAACCTTGATACGTTGCTTTTTCGTCGAAATTGAGATACACGTTTTTTTTCATGTGTGCGATTTAAAATTTCAAATGAAATTTCCAGAATATATATCGCATACGTTCGTCGCATTTTTAAAAAAGGAAAATAACAAAGAAGAAGCAGATTACGTTTCTTTATATTATTGTGATTTTTCATGGAACAAAAATTAAAATTATTGCATTGTAAAATTAAAAAAATATAACGTTATTTGAATATATGGAATAGCTCATTTTTCTCGTACGTTTTATAGATATAATATAACTTCATTTACGTGAAAGAAATTTTAATAATGCTTGGTTATATAAGAGCTTAATATTTGAAATACCACTGAGCATCATTATATAAATATTTTTATAATATAATTGAATATCTTTATATAGTAAATTTTTAAACAAAATTACAGAATAATGTACAATATCACGAAAACAAATATATTAAGTTTTGTAAATCATTTCAAGTATTTAAAATCATGTTTTATATTTTGTGTGAATTACATTACAAAATTAATATTGTTACGCAATAACATATCATTGCCTGTCTAATAACTAGAAATAAAAATTTATGTAATTAGAGAATCAATTTATAATATTTCATACATTATTATACATTTCAGAAAAATCATTTTAAAAGAATAAGATATGGAATTCTATATATTAATAATTAATATATATTAATATGTATTATATTAATATAAATATATAAATATAAATATTAATATATATAAATATATATAAAAATTTTTTTCGTTTTTTTTTTTTTTTAATTTTGACAATTATATTTTTTATTGTATTCTCGAATAATTTTATCGTTTGTGAAATTTTTCTTATATACAGGATTAATATATTAATATTTATATTAATATATATATATTAATTAATTAAAATATCTCTTCGAGGGAGAGATTTCGATTTTTTTCGTTCTTTTTTAACAATTTTTTGACAATTATATTTTTTATTGTATAATTTTATCGTTTGTGAAATTTTTCTTATATACAGGATTAATATATTAATAATATTACATATAAATATTAATATATTAATATATTAATCCTATATAAGAAAAATTTCACAAACGATAAAATCATACGAGAATACAATAAAAAAATATAATTGTCAAAATTAAAAAAAAAAAACGAAAAAAGTCGAAATCTCTCCCTCGAAGAGATATTTTAATTCGATTCGATGACGCACCAAGCTAACGCTCGAACATTTAATTAAACCTCTATCTAAGTTAGTTTAAAAACTTGAAAACAGCACGATCAAAGTTTCTCCGTTTCTGTCTATCCTTCACGCGACAAATATTTCAAAAAAAAAATCGCGGACCACTGGCAAAACGTCCAACCTCGAACCGCGAAAATAGACTTGGCCAACAATTCGCAGACTCCAGTTCCAACACGAGGAGAGGCGTTTCTATTTATACGAGTGCGTCGAGCGGAAGAGAGCCCATAGGGATTTTCGAAACGCGCCTTTCGACACGGCGGCACGTGCCCATCGCC